AAGTACTCGACTGCAACACTGCTTAGGCCCTATAACCTTTTTTATGATGTTGTAAGCATGGCAGTAAGTTATTGATGTCTGAAGTGCATTTTGATGACTTGTGCATTTTTGTGCCAGAGATGTTGATTCCACCTGCCACAGGGTGCAAGGAGACATTTCTTTTGTTTCCATAGCCAGCTGTCGACTATGGTGTTCTACACCTGCGAGATGGAGATTCGAAACGTAAGGGGAGTCACGGCTACGGCAGGCATTATACAAGGTGCGTCCGTAGAGCCTACTGGCGGAGGATTTCCTATCTAGGCGCATATGTGCGTGATTGTCAGGACGCAGCCGAGTATGTATCATGTATTTGAGTGCCACTCGACGTTCGTTCGGGTGGCAACGGTCGACATGAATAGGTTTGAAAACAGCTGTCAACCGTAAGTCGCGCCTTTAGGGCACTGGTGTTTACAGTGCTGAACAACGCTTGGCAGCGCGCTATTCGGTATTTTTCCCATTCAGTTTGACTTTGGACTGGCGGACAACCTGATAGTTTGGCAGTCACTGATTTGCAAAAGCTCAGGTCAAAATTTAGCGCAAGAAAAATCTATGCAGTGTCAAATAAACAGAACTGGATTTTGTCACTGGTGACTGTTCCCTTTTTATTACTTCTAACTCACCAGCTCTTTTAGAGTTAGTTACCTGAAGACGTAATCTGAGCTATCTATCTTATGTCCGCAGTTGGAGCCTTGTAGGATGCCACTAGACCCAACCACACTGCAGCGCTGGATCATTCCCGGCTTATAAAGCGAATCCTGCAAGGGATTTGACAACACAAACCATTTACAAATAAACTTTTAAAGAGTATATTTACAACTCATTTCAATATCATATTTGAGTCGAACTTTATGCTTGTACATGTAGTTGCAAACACTAGTGGCGCTGGTTTACGCATGGTTATTTTAGTCGGTCAGAGCAGACATAATATTCTCCTCTTCGACTCGAAATTTGTTAAGGCCTCACTTGATGTTAGGGACGTTGCAAGGATTTTTCTATGGGGGGACCACTTTTAAAACCACTAATTAATTCATAGTTCCAGGGGCTTAGTTTCTCTTTGGATCTTCAACTCTCTCCCCCTTTTTACTTTTTAATTTCTTTCAGGTGTCAAGCAACCATTTTCCCCCCTCACGACGCTCTTCTAGATGTATGTGCTAGTTACAGCAACTTGATGAGCTCAGTAATGTCATTCAAACAGTGATAACTGAAAAATATAAAAAGGCATCATCACAGAGGCACCTCCAAGTTTTGCCAAATACTTTGCATTCTAAGTATAAGCAACTAAAGTCTATTGCCAACGGCAGCACGCCCAACCTTCCTGTTGGCACAGCGGAATATAACCGTTGAGCGTACGTGTAATTACGATGTCTGCACACAGTGTCCCTCCAATAAACAGCATACTGCATATGAGCGAAGGCCTTGCCTTTGCATCAGCAGAGGCATTTCGCGATTTTTGAAATCTATTTCACCTTCCGCGTACCATGTATACAGAGACGTCTGACGACACTAGGCCACACCTATTCTTTCATCAGATCACGTGTGCATTATGCAGTTTTACAGCTCGCCTGTTCTGGAAATGTATATAATGTTCTTCATGTGCGGAGGGATTTCTGATGGTCTGAGGCTATGCCAGTCGTTATATCCTGGGTTTATATTAGTTTTATTGCGAATTCCCCCTTAGAATTTGCTCACCACATAAACATTACCTGATCTGATTACCATCTGATTAAGCGCATGTTTTCCTCACTTAACACTCGGAAAGTTGGGTGTGGCGGGCATAGGTACCATTTATTGAATTAAAGTTGTACCTTTTGATTATTTCCAGATATCTCTAGATGGATACTAACAATAAATCGTTTTTTAGGTATCTTGAAATCGTTTTTAAGATATCTCAAATTCATTTTGATCCATCTTGAAATGGATACCCAGATATCTGAAAACTGTTTTCAAGATATCTGACAAAAAGACTTCAAGTTATCTTGAGATCGAATTACAAAATATCTGGAAATCCATTCGAGATATCTTTAAATCGATTTCGAGATATTTGACTGCGAAGCATGACCGTCCTTATTAAGCAACGAATACAACCTTTTTGGTCACATTTACTTGACAGTGAGGACTATTAATTTATATTATAATTACCCACCAATCAAATTGTGAGGTTTGGTAAAGGTGAAAAAATTATTGGAGAATGGTTACCACAAAGACTTGTTAAATCTATCTTCACCTAACAGATTAATGTTTCCGAAGAAGTTCATAGCTTACTTGTGTATAAAGGTTAATTTATAATATACAATCAAAGTAAACAGTGTTTCGAAATATCTGGTGAAATAACTGGAAGATGGTAGGCATTTGCTTGCTTACTTTGGGCAATAATTGCCACAGCTGTTTTGATATCCTCGTAAATGCTTTGTGCCTGTAGAAGTTGATTTTCTCGCCCAGTTGAACGTTTTGTTTTGAGAGGATAAATTTGTCCGGTTTCCCCATGTCTCCCAATGCATCCCGCAAGCCATTTCTGTAAAAAACAATAAAATAAAATCCCAACAATAAACAGTTCGTGCAGTCCAACAGAAAGTGGAATTACTTTGTACTCATGCATTTGTGAATTTTGTCTGTCCAATAGTGAGATGCGGGTGCGCACTTGGAATACAGAGCTGTGCGAGCAGCTACTTGTAAAAAGTGCAGCACGCCCAGGCACTGTGGACTGTTCAGATTAACTCCAATATAAGGAAGTACACCCCCTCTCTTCATTCAACAATCGAAACACCAGTCACGCAGACATGCACGGGTCAAATAGACTTTCGAGTCCAAGGGATAAGTGTATTACCTTACCTGAAGATTTGACTACTGGTAGTGTTCCGTTGCCATTTCCATTTTGTGATTCGGCTAATATCGACGAGAAAGTCCGTGTCGTTTTCAGGGTAATGGTTGGCGTACTTCTGTATGAAAACACTGTAAATGTACAAGCATAATTTCATTAGCCTGTTTTTATTTCATTGTACACCAGTTTTCATCCCGTGTAATGGGCCAATGTGATGGATTTTCAAATTCAACCCTTCAACACGTATGCACAATTACCCCTTCTTCGACCGTTTCATACTGTTGCCTATGGACAAGTATTAGAGAGCTTTTTGGCTTTATTACATTCAATATTAGAAATTTGTGTTTACAGGCAGAAAAACAGTGGCGTGTCCCTCTGGCGGGGGGAGGCAAGGAGACCCCCCACACACGGATTTGTTTTGTTTTCAACAAAGAATATTTCATAAGTGAGTATGAAAGAAAGTAATCGGTATATATCAGCACCAAAACCCTAAGAAAACACCAGCAAATAAAAGCAAAAATGTCGGGACCATACGCCTAAGGCTTTTAATTTTTTTCTCTCCAATATCATATTGATTAAGCCCGAAGCCCCTTTCGCTTTGGAATTTGCCCCCGACACCAAATGCTGGACGCCGCTGCAGTGGAATCCATAAGGGAACTGCTTAAGAAATCGTAGTGTTTCGCTGTTGAATCATTATGGCAGTCATACAGAACTGAATGTAAACCACAAAATAATACTTTTTCAATTTCTACATGCTTGGTTCATAATTTTGGTAGAGAAACTATTGTAACATTAGAATAACCTGTCATTTTAATCACTTGCATTTTGGCTATTGTTCAACATAATGCAAATATATCTATACATTCATATGAATGTTATGCATGGTGCATGTGAATCCCATCCACTTTGATGCATCATTCGGACTTGTCTTTTGCAATTGCACAAACTTATAAGTACATGTAATCGCAGACATTGGCATACGTGTTATTCAGCGGACAGCATGATCAGAAGAGTGAACTTTACCCAGAAACTCCCTCCGGTGTTCGGTCAGAAGCCGTTACGTGTGCGATATGGTATGTGCGACGTTTTATTGAAGAGTTTTGAGTTTTACTATGTCACTCGAAGCAGTCAATATTTATTTAGTATACATGGTGAGCTTTTTGGTTTTTATAACGATTCCTTCGAAGTGAATTATTAGACACTGGTGCTCACCTTTTGGCTTCTATGGGAGTTTTTGTTAGTTGTGTAACGTTCACAATACTTCGATTCACAGAGACGTATTCAGCTGCTCGAAACCTGAGGAGTGATAACGTTAAAATAAGCGTGACTGTAGGTACGAACAGAATACCAAACGTATTTCTACCCACAACACCATTTGAATAAGCAAATCCAATTGCATGAGATTTAAAACCAATACAGGAGTATACGGGCGGATGGTAAACATTTACATGCAACTGTCGTCTTGCGTTTGTGTACATTTGATTGCTTCAAACATCCGATCGGTGTTTTGATGCGATCCTGCAGACGGATGTTGCATTCTGTGACTTTAGGCTTATACACACCAAAGGTATTTCGCAGAAAAGGTGCACCAAACATTTTCGGATAACACAGAATTCAGTGGACATCATCATCGTAAGAATATGAACCAGGCCGGCTGTGTGGATGTAAAAAATAAAATAATCTGCCGAAAACAAGATTTGGTGTCCAATCTTACCCGAGACTGCTATTCTCCGTGGGGACAGAGCCCCCTGCTCTCGCCACACCAAATGTAATGTTACCCTGTCTGCCTCGGACAAGCGTGTGATCGACGGGCGAAAAATCCGAGCCATATGCCATGATTGTCACAGACAACAAGAGTACAGTGGTCATCAAGAAAAATGTTCTGCAAATCACTCTTAGTATCGCTCGCTTACACCAGAATACGGCCCATCGAGAAATATTAACCCAGATAGTTGAACTCATGGTCGCTCCCTTTGCCTTCTCACACAAGGTTTCCTTGACTAGACAGTGCGAGAAACGGTCGGTGTATCTCCTGGCCTATGCCTCCGAGATTGGTCACTACAGTAACCGGAGCACGTCGTGAGTCTCGTTACATCAATTATTTGTCGTCCGTTTGAACTTTGATCGTCGAGAGGTTAAACAGGACGATAATAAAGAACAAACAAAATGCGTTGGCACTGTTGGAATGGGACTTTTACGGGCTCAGGCGGACATCAGTACAAAAACAGCTCAAAAGACGTTTAAGGCCAGTAAATACATGTGGGACAACAACAATCATGAGTTACACGCCTTTACATTGATTCGTCTTCAAGGATTTTGGTGATCAGGGCTACAAGCTTTTACTTCAATGAAAGTTTTGTTAAAGTGAAATTTTAATGGGGGTTTTCAGTTGGATGGAGGAATCATTTGTTTTCGAAATGGCGATGGATTTCAGGAATATTTTATTAGGGCTAACAGCATTTATTTCTCCCGGATGATTGGATAACCCACCCAAAATTCGACAATAACTTCAAAACGGTGAGATAACCTGTGAAATAACCTATAATAACCACTAAGTAAAGGTATATCATTGTAACCCATGATAGTTTCAATGCAACCATGCAACGAGCAAGAGTATGTGGCGATTTGATCGATTATGCTAATTGTCTGCGAGTTCCTTGGCATTTACTGATCTCCTTAGCATGAACTTCGGCCGCGCACACAGCTTTTACAGTTACATGGTTGCAGATAAAGCTGGCTTTCGCAAACGTTTATTTACTCTTCCAAACAGTTACACTGATATGCACAATGATAAAAAAATCGAGACACAATGCTCGCAGTAAAACTGGAAGTTGAAGTACTTCAAATGATGAAGCTATATACGCGGTTAATTTGAATACACAGTCTCGTTTCTATTATGAAAAAGTCGATATATTATTACTCCAGGTGGTAGTTTACATGTAGATTCATTTTTAAGTAAATTGAGTTTTTATACAGTCTTTATACTGCAGGAATTTAACAAATGTCATAAACATATATTTCCCCTATTTGTTGGCAGGAAACAATCACACAGCGCCCCCCGTTATTTTTTTAAAGACCTAAATATGAAAGACAAAACATGGATGAACACGACTGGAAGGGATAATACTTCAAATAATGCTCATAAAATATTCCTAGTTGAATTATTTGAAAGACGACTGACTTTAGGTTATTTAAGTGCATTGACAATAACATATAGCTAAATATGGCTGTAATTATTATGAACATAATAAATAAAGCCTCTTAAATTTTTTGAAAAAAAATTCACTCCTACGGGTTTAAAAAAACGAATTCACTCCTTTCACACTGAGTGTAGACCCCGATCCACACCCCTTGGCTTTTAGGATTAATCGAGGAATTTTATAGGCGACAAAACCAGACATTAATTATTATATGAAAGGTTCTTCATTTCCCGCAGAGGACTCAACAAACCATGGGCATATTCATGGCTGCAATGAATCACCGTAGTTTGGACTTGGACCCTGTTTGGTCGTTTGGATGTTATGCGTGGCACTCATCAGGAAAACTCAAGAGTGCAGAGTGCGCGCGGAGTGGTGTTCACAGCTGCGCTTGTTGGATGCCATAGTTGTAATATGGAGAGTAATGGTAGACTATGAGACAAGTTTGCAAAGGAAGAAGAACGTAAGTATAATGATGCTATAGCAATTACACAAAATACTTTCTATTGTCAGTACGAACCAAACATGTCGTGTTTGCTACCAGATGGAGTAAGCAGAAATTGAAAAAAATTACTGAAGTGACCTGCCGAACCTGCACAAACGCTAAAGCCATTATTTGAAATACAAAAACCCTAGTAACACAAATAATTATCGTCTTTTACTGCTCGATTACCCACTAAATTGCCAGGTCTGGTGACTAATCACGGGGCAGACAGCGGCACAAGCACGATTTTGGCCATGTCATATTTGAATGATTTAGTTTCAACTCAAGTCAATGCCTCTAACCAAAATACACGACATCACAATGTCAACATGCCATTTTGGCAAAATTGCCGTTTGCTGTCACAAGACAAGGATTTCAGTGACACGTACGCCATCAAAGACCGGTTTTGCCGATCCCGAAGCTGGCGTAATAAATCGAGCTTCCAGATTGGTGGCGGAACGTTCCATGACATGCACTTCATAATCCAGGTACTAAATAGCTGACCGTAGCAAAATTACATGAACATTGTACGTACGCAGCATTTACCTGCATCTGAATCTACACGTAGTGGCTACAGGTAAGTGCGAGATTTTTCAGGTGCCAGAATGAATATGGAACGGTTTTTAAGAAACCATTTCTACAGTTTTGTTCTTTGGTTCATATATCAGAGGTAAGGGTGTTCCAAATCTCGAAACCCATGGGTAAAGCTACAAAGTGCATTAATAGTAACTCCGATAATGATTCCAGTAGCTCTGCTTCCAAAGATGCTTCGCACATCACTGTTCAGTTTCTGTACGTGATTACATGTGTTGACTGGTGGGAAGAACACTCCTTTTGACCAACATCGAAAACAGACCGCGTTAATCATTTTAAGCTGCTCAATTTGCATTCGCCGAAGTTGTATTGCGGCATGGGTATGAATTCTAATCTCAAAAGAATTCGAACGTATATACCGCTTAAAAGTCGAACTTACCAACCGCCCGTGCGTATTAAAGTATACACGCACCTACAATTCCCATAGGTACAAGTTGTATCCTATGTCTTTAGGGTCGGTACGTGTGGGTTGTAACTTATAATTCAGTTGTTAGACGATTCAATCGTTTGCCGGTACAAGTGGATAGATTTTAGCATGATGCCCTCGACCTTCCGTAAACACTCTTTTACTTTGCAGCATGCACCATGCGGCACTGGCGGAGGGTAGGCGTTTGTATCTTAACAGTCCTCTGCATAGTCTACCTGCTTACCAAAGTCGGCCACAAACTCACGAAAGCAATTACCAAAGAATCCGCCCCCTCGTATCGAGTAACTCCTGAAATTAACGGACTTCGCCCGTACAACCAAAGTGACAGCAACAAGCAGCCAACTGAAATTCAAGCCCCTAGCTTGCTACAAAACGGCAGCGCCAGCACCAAGCTGCAGACGCGGACTGGCGCTGTCGACCATTACAGGTCACTGCTAGATGATCAGGTAGGATTTTATTGGGGGGGAAAGAAGAAACCTTTCATCGTTTCCACAAGAAATCCAACACAGTTATCTGTCGGAGTGATTCACTTCAAGAGTTTACGCAAGATAGAGTTCCAGTCGCCCCAAACAGCTTTATTTCCGAATATTGATTTGTGTTAACGTTCGATTACTTTGCTTGGAGTTAAGTCTGTATCCCTTTAGGCCTATTACTGTAACTTCCCCATCCGTCAGAATTGTCAAGAGTCAGGGCTGCACACCTCATTAACTCGTGGGTTTCACCACAAATAGACGTACCGTCTATCGACTTTGTACACACGATCCACTTTGCGTCACTTCGTGGTGAAACCGACGAACTTTTACTTCAAAAATTGAGTTTCTTGTAAAGACTCTGCACTGCTATATAAAATGTACTTTTGCTGGAATATTACATGTCGTGACCGATTTGGTTGAGAATTTAACTGAAGACTCACCCTCATAAAATAATGGTAAAAAAACTTCGCAAGGTGTTTCGATTTGACGGATACCAGAAGCCTATATATGTGTGTGTTGAAACTTACTTAAGGTCCTGGTGCCTGATGATTAAGTAACACGAGATATCAGTGGAAATAATTTGTAAGCCAATAACAGAGGTCTTCGACAATAAAATAGTATAAATATCATAAACCCACCTCGACGAAACACCCCCTCTTTTTTTAACTCAGCAAACAAACAAATTTAAAAGGGATTCTGCACCCCCCTATTTTTGTCGCTGTTTATTGTGGGTAGTTTTATACCGTAGTCTGTGGACTCATACTGTCATTGCCTGATCTGATCAAACTGATAAAAACTTCTTCAATATTTACGAATGTCTTTGTTCTATTAGCCAGTCACACTGCATTGTGCATCGTGTGCCTTGGTATCCAGTTCGGGGTTCTTACTCGGTAAGGAGGCTGGGCAAGACATTGACAAACACCCCTGCGTGATCAGGATGAACATGGCCCCCGTTGAAGGCTACGAAAAAGATGTCGGCACGCGCACCACCCTCCGAGTGCTCAACTTCTTCACTGGGGTGAAGGCCAGTAAGCTCCCGCCCGGCAGCAGGGTCATGATCTGGGGACTCTACGAGCACAAAGCGGACTTGAAAAGGGTATTGGGCATGTTGAAGAACCTGAGGCCGAACGTTATCATCCATGGCCAGACAGTAGAGGGCGAGCGGAAGGCAGGGGAGCTGTTCACTAAGGAGACGGGTCATCCGCTGTGAGTGAGATCTTTATACGCCAGTGTCTCTGCCACTTTTCCGAGTGTCATCATGTCAACAGAGAATAATTAACAAAACACCGAGAATCACGTTGGCTTACTTTGAAGATACTTTAAGGATATTTTGAATTTGGGTATAGGATAGGAGGGTCTATGGGGTTTTCCCTGTGTTATCGCTTTGCAGTTTGCACAGTTCGATTTATGTGATCACAATATCATGCTCCTGAGTTTTGGACCTCCTTTAAAACTCCAAGAGCAACTAGAAGACACATCGTAAACTATATATCAAGTCTTATTTCAATATTTGTCATCAGACTCTGTCCACGGCAGATATAACCGAAACGCAGTTCATGTGGCAGTCTCTCTGAAAACAGCCCAAAATTCCACTACTGGTAAAACATTCTGGTAAAAACACTCTAATGCCTCACCACTTTTATGTGCCTCATGAAATAAGTGCCGTCAAATTGTGCCGGACCGAGCGGGTACCACGGACAACCGTTTAGCATTTAAACGCATTCCTTAGCGTATTTCAATAAACATTTCGTGGGTTAAACGCGTTACAAAGTGCGTACAAGAGGTTTTCAAACTCTAAATGCTGTTTCCATACACACTTGTAACTCTGACCTTTACATCAAAACAGCGTAGTAACAGGTTTCGTCTTGACATATGTCTACCTTTTTCAATGTTAAGGAATACTTTTAGTTGTTGGGAAGTCCAAAATATTCTTCAAAATCAATTAATGTTTTTTCACACAATGAAACGTGGGGACGATTTAGTAGCCCCTCCCCCCTAAAAATAAGTGGGGGGTAAATTATGCCCTTCACGGATATACCTACAAAACCCCCTCACAGATCAAACCTTCAATCTTATACTATCTCAATTAATTCCACAGAGACAAAACATAATTTCATTGAGGTGAACGTTCGCTCCCTCCATTTAAGAGGATACAGTTTAATCATAAAATAATATTTCATCACAATTATTTTCATTTTCATTAGCTAAAATAGTTTCTCGTTCTGAAAAGTCAAATCCCTATTTTCACTCTTTGGAAATGGGGAAATACTTGCTCTGTATTTTCCAAATTATTTCAGAAACACCACATCAAGTGAATTTTGAGAAAAATCTCCATCTGTTGCAATAGGCCTTTCACCATAATTCGGCTTGTCCCTATACTTTCATTATTTTGGAGGGATTGCTTTTCACTCGAATAGAGTGAGCGTTGATTTTAATTTATGAGATCATACGACGGGAAAGTGGCGTTAACGTGTTGAGTGTGTCCCTGTACATTCCGTGGCTTTTTTTTCAACAGGAAGACAAACGATTCTTGGCTGTCCACAGGTTGGTTCACTATGATGATAGCTCTGGACTTGTGCGACAAGTTACATGTATATGGAATGGTCCCAGCTGAATACTGTGTGTAAGTATTCAGGTTATAACATTTTACGATTTTTCAAGAATCATTAGACCTGTTATCAAATCCTGTGGAACTGTTCAGTTTCTACAAAGTGACAATTCATATTTCTTGTAACACAAAGCTTATAAGGTGTAGAGAGGGATCCAAATGTAGGGATTAGCTTGGTGAAGCGTTGAGGCGGGAATGATAAAGGTGGGAACATTGGATGCTGCAGTGGATCCTGGTACTGCATGACCTGAGTGTGTGCTTACTCAAGCGTGTCAGTTGGGGTTGGCAGTGGGAGAGTGAACAGCTGGGTGCCAAGGGTAGAGAAGACCCATAGGCTAACTAAGGGGCAAACCTAACTGGGGAGTCCTGGGGTATAGGAGACCCATTGGACTGGGATGTGAGGATGGGGCGCCAGATATCGCTGATGCTGGAGCCGCTGTCTTGAGGAACTGTGTCATGCTTGATGATTTCCTTGGCTTGTTTGATGCGGCGAGGATAACATCGTTCGATGCTGGTGATGAGTTTCAGCTTGGCTCCAATTGATCTGATGGTCTTCAGTGTGGGAGTGCTTAATTATCAAGCTCTCCCTTCCTGCCATGAGCTTTGTGCTCGTTGAGTCGGGTAGGGAGCTCCCTGCCCGTCTCGCCGATATACACTTTGCCACATTGGCAAGGAATTCCTTTCCCCCCTGGTCTGCGCTGGGGGTTCTGTCGGTCCTTGTGCGAGGTGAGCAGGTTGTGCAACGTGAACTTTTTTTTTTTTTACTTGCACGTTCACGTTTACGAGCTTAAACCTTCATGATTCCCAGTGTTAGGGTATTTCGGGTCCTGTTTGGTTTGATGGATACAAGTATTCATTGGCAAAACAGAGTTCGTGTTAATTAATGAGCCCCGAGTGGGACTAAGAGAGGGCGCAATTTTCCTGGCAACCGAGGCTCCTTTGGCGGAAAACGGCGATGTTGCTTAATGCAAAAGACTGTTCTGTGTTCTCACAGGAATTTTAAATCTGAACTCAAACGCTGATGCGTCTAATGGAAAAAATAAAATCTCGGCAATTTACAAGACACACAGGAATGTCTCTTAAAGCATGAGCTAAACATCGTCGTGTTAAAATTTAAGCCAGGCCGAGGTACCAGACGTTGGTATTCAACATCAATCTGTTACCTCATGAATTTATTCTTATATATCTACCCATAAACGTTCAGTAATATAATGCATTTGAGCCCTGGCACAGAGCTGGCCTGTGCATCCAACTGAAGTGAATGGCACTTATGATTTTCCTCTCTCTTCAATGAAGAGATTCTTTACCTCCGACCTTTTTTTCTCTCCATCCAATTTAATCACACACAGGAACAAACCAAAGGTGGACTTTCCGTATCACTACTACAAGAGCACCTCGTCCAAGGAGTGTGCTACCTACAACGTCTCCGAGACCAGACGTGGTGCGCATCGGTTCATCACCGAGAAAGCCGTCTTTGCACGATGGGCCGCGCGGTACAACATTACCTTCCACTACCCAGAATGGACAATACAAAGGGACAAACTCTCAGACGAACTCGACACTCCATTCGTGAACAAGTACAAATTAAACAGTAAATCACTGGCGAAAAAGGCGTAGCAAACAGGACTAAACACAGATGTATTGTTTATTTTGCTGTTATAAGTCCATTGTCACACCGAAGCCCTAAGATGTTTGAGTGCAGAGCAAAACAAGCCAAGGCGAAAGTTAAACAGGGAGGGATCTTCCCTATATCAAATACATGCAGTTCCATAGTGTGATTTTAAGAAGTTTTCTTCGCACCTCTGACCTCGACCAACACTTTTGCAGGGCAGATAATACGAAACAAAACTCAACAATGATTGATAAGCTTCCGCCAATTACCTTGTGCACAGGTGTTTACTTAGCCAACGAACATTGACTCCAGTTCTACGTATAGGCAGCCACGGTATGCCGAATACAACCAATTTGGAAAAAAAGTAGCTTAACCCACAAACTGCACGTGTTCCCTCAGTATTTCCCTTCAGTATGTACTTTGAAATTTTGGTTTTGAAAGTTTCATTTTATTTTGTTTTGGGAAAAAAAGTACGACCCGTGGACGTGTTTAACATGTCAGTCGAGTGGAATTCTTTTAAACCTAAATGCAACTGCTTTATTAAATCAATAAAGTTGACCATATAATGGTTTGTAAACAGGAATCAGCAGTACAGCTTTGAATTCATTTCTGACGCCCAAATCCCTCAACTGTTCTGGGACCCTGCATGAACATTACGTTGCAGACACCAAACATTGCTACAGCAATATGCACTGATACTTGCAGCAGACTATTTCGAAGGATGGATTTGTGCCGGGGAGATGTTAATTAATTTTGGATTTCTGCCCTACCCGACGTGTATTATAACACTTCATACTCGGTGTTTGCCCCCTAAGGCAAATCCATTCTTAGAAATAGTCGTTAGCTGTATCGCTTCTACATCTGACTCGAATCAGCCAGCCAACACAGGTAAGCTCGGTGGTCGAGTGGCTAAGACGTTTGCACGAGTAAGCAGGAGGTCATGGGTTCGAGTACGCTTGTGTGTGTGTGTTTTTTCCCCACAAGCCCTCGGGGCAAACACTGAGTGTACAGTTTTATAATACACGTTGGGTAGGGCAAGAATCCAAAATTAATTTACATGTAACAGACTTGGTGCCTCAGCACCGGATATTCCTTTCATAACCAAGTTGCTCGACTTCAACGTGACTGCACAGCAGATCAATATCATTGAGGCCATGGTGTGAAGCTTAGATTGCGGCCCGGTGGTCACCCGTTATACTATTGAAACAGAGTGAATATAACGGAACCCACGAGGACGAGGTTGCTCAGTGTGCCATTGATGGTGGCAGCTAGAATAAAAGCCCAGAGTTCCCATGGTGTTAAATTCTTTGCTATTTGCGTTAAAGTAAGCAAGATCAATCAAGGAGCTTCAATTCTAATGTCTGGAAGACTTATATGAAGATTTTTCCTAATTTTTGAGGTGGGAGGTTCTTCATCACTTCTGTCTATGGTAGCTTATTTATTAGTCTGCAACCTGCAGTTTTGAGAGCCATGGAATTGCAGAATTAAAGAAATATGGGATTGAACCTTTGGTCTGGAATTAGGGCTTTCATTCTGGATGCAATCGGGTCCGAAAGTGGCACTATTCAGCTGTGTCGCCAAAATGGCGACTTTTCACAGTCAGGGAAATATCTTTCAATTTTGTTGGGCACCGTGTGCCAAAATTTGCCAACAACTAACGAGAGATGGGAGAAAAGAAGTATGTTATGTGTTAGTTTATCAGTTTATTTCAAGAAAGTTAAAAGAGAAGAAAAACACATCCACATCACCTTAATTACACACAGGGCAAATCCGCTAGTAGCAGTAATAAGTAAACTCGACAAAGCAAATACAATAAAAAGCAGATTATTTTCATGTCTTTGTAGAATTTAAGTAAAATTTTGAATATTTTGGTATCCTTCAGAGAACCATAACGAGATGCAATCTACAGCCCATGCACAGACAACAAAAGAAGTAGCGACGTTGTGCCCCACTGTCTTCTTCGCTTTGTAACGTTGGAGGCACTGTTATGATTACGTTATAAATACCCTGCTTTATTTCCTAAAAAGAAATTTTATTTCTTTGGTCCTAAAATATCAAAAACCCCTCCAAAAGAAAGTATTGCTACTGTTTACCTAAAGTGTTGGTATCTTTAGTAAAAATGTTATTGGGGAAGGGTAGTGGCAAGTAAGTTGCCAAAGCCCTGCCCCCCATGAGTGTGCCAGTATTGAAGGGATTGTGCTGAACAATTCGCGACCTCCTGTCCAAATCCATAACAGGGCCACTTTTCACAGGGTATTGTGAAAATCCGGCCGTCATGCGATGGTCAAAATCACACCTCTGAAACCAAAGGAACGTGAATATATGATGGTGTACTTGCAGTCGGTGCATAGGTGATGTTCAAGAGAGGTCGCTCTACAAGGTAACCACTGGCTAGCCGAATTTGAAGGGTCACTGCGACACGGTGGCCCGGTGACTACACTTTGATTATACCTTCGCCGTATGAACGCTCAACCTTTGCTACATCGTCACTGATACCCAGGATGGTGCATGATGAACGATCGATATTGCGATGATGCAATTTTAACACGAGGCGAAGACATATATAACATCGATATCGAGCACGGTTCGTGGTTGATATGGCCATGGTTGAACGTTTACCTTTTAAAGGTACATCATTCACATCACTAAGGACGGACGTTCACATCGCGATATCAAGCACCATGCACCGTTCACATGGCAAAGGCCGATAGTTGACATGAGGTTGAACGTTCATATGGCAAGAGTTGCCATCAAAATGTCATCAACAGGCCATCGCACTGCGATGGATTCTTTGTATATAAACTTCCAAAATGAACCTTTTGTTCAATTTTTGTTTCACTGATCTTCATCGTATTTTGTTTCCTGTTTATAGGTTTTACGCTTTTGAGTATTTCCATATTCATAAGCCAAAATATGGTGTCACCCAAAAAGAAAATCTATAATGTTACAGTTGCTTTTGCTCAATGAAGCCTCTGCATTTTGAAAGATTTTACATGCTAAAATTTTCTTTTCTTTGTGTAGATACATATCAATAATCAAGCAACTCTTTCTCAGAAATGTCTTTAGTAATTCTTGGTTACAACGCAGGTGCGCTGCTTTGAAGGGATCATCAAACCTCCAGTTTTTCGTACACTCTAAAAACCTCCGGGTCAGATTGACCCAGAAGTGGGTCCAATTTGGTATAACCCTTTTCACAGTCAAAATATGACCCTCTTTCGTGTCAAATTTCACCCTTTGTGGGTCATATTTGACCCTTTCTGGGTCATAATTTGACCCGGAAAAGGGCTACACCGGATGGGACCCAATTCTGGGTCAATCCGACCCGGACGTTTTTTAGAGTGTGATACACACTTCCTGTGTGACACAAATTACTTTTACATTATGGCAAAATTCGGTGTAAAATTTATACCGCTCTGTGAATTATGACACTGCAATCTTTTATCGAGCTCATGTGATACTACAAATTTCTTTCGCATTCAATTTATTTATTTATTGTTCATCAAAGAGACATCAATGTATGTTGTGGCATGCGGTCATCACATAATAATTATATGATAGCCCCTAATAGTACATGTACATTTTACCTGCAAAGTGCTCCCATTCGCAGCTACTGGGAGCACGCGCTTTAAAGGAACCACGAAATAGACATACTTTGATACATTTTATTTTCATTTTCAGTTGATCATTTGGTCTTTTTTCCACAAATTTTTTCAATTTTAAAAGTTTTCCCAGAACAGTGAGACACTACATACGACTAGCCAGAATCTCAACTACACAATACAATCAGTTCTATGTAGCTACATGTTTTGTTTGACTTTCATGAGTTATATTTGATACTTCTGCGCAGCGCAATTTATACGTGTTTTACGTGATAGGTGCGTTCGATTAGCTTACACGTGTAAGTCAAACTTACACGAGAGCGTTCGTTTAGCCATCACGTGATCCTCGTGCCTGCCCTGGTGTCAGCCACTACTGCCCCAGCTGGCGATCGGGTCTCTGGAGGCTGTCCGAGTGTAATGACGTCACGGATGGACTGTTCGTGCATGGACATACATGATGGAACATGGCGGGGACTTGACCTTTTCCCAGAATGCCTTGGTGAGTACAATGCAGCGTTCGATTACCCTCATTTCGAGGCTTCCCTTGGTGTAACACTGGTGTATTCAGGGAAGCTAATCGAACGCACCCATGCACAAAACTGATCCAGCCACGTAGCCTACAGTGCACTGTACACTGCGGCCTGTAACACGCGTACTGCGGCGTACACTTAAACACAATTTTCGACGGAGCCGGTGTACATGTTCATGTATTTAAAGTGTACAGTACATGTAAAACTAATGACAGATAGACCTTGGTTTCAATAGTAATCTTCATGTTAACTTACTGCACTTTTGTGTTCGTCTTTCGTTCCCGAGTCACTGGATTCTTACGATCGCAAGGTCGTAAGATTATGCGGGATGAACGGAATCGGTACTTAGTTAGGTCAATATACAAACGCGGTCGGGAAGAGAAAAAAATCTAGCGCAAAACTGTCAGCAAATCTAAAACCTTCACACCTTTCTCCAGCACAGCCCACTTTTGAAAATTTCAGAAAAACTTCGAATTCTTTGTTTCAGGCCTTCAAAAACCGCATCAACAAACTACCGCTTACGAAAAGGGCTTTTCACAAAAATCACTAGTTTTGACGACTCTTGTATACTATTTCTCATTTTTTTGTAGCGGAAAGTGTACAAACTTTCGTAACTTTTGTTGTGCATAATAGTGAGGACTAGACAAGTGTAGTAGTGTGTACATGTCCTGTGATGTCAGGATGGGCGGGGCTTGCTCTGTTGAGTTTCTGCTAGTTCAGCGAAGCTGTGGAGACGTGAGTTCTTGGTGCTCTCGCTGTGGCGTTTTATGGCTAGGTCGGGCAGACCGTCTCCGTGTAGCATTACATAGGCTGTGCGGTCCAGCCGTTCACTTGCGGGTGCATAGTAGATTTGGGCTGGGCCAACGGTGCCGTGGTGCTTAGTGCATGCGGGCCGTTTCGCTATAGTGACACTGGGCTATGCAATGCGATGTTGTTTAATTGGGCAGTGCGACACTGAGATGTGCAGTGCTACTTGGGTCCAGACGTTGGACGTGTATTGCTGATGGCGTTCATGTGATGCGACATTGTGCGTGCATATAAGAGTTGCGCAAGGCGACAGTAGTCAGTGCGTTGCTCATTGGCGCGACGCAGTGCGATATTAGCTGTGTATTGCTAATAGCCTTTCCTCAAGACCACGCAAAACCACAGAGGTTTTAATAAAGCTCACCCAATACGAGTTATCCCTAATCACTTAATCAATTAATTATTCGTTGAATGTCTCAATAAATCACATTGTTATTGAGGTTACCGACAAATTGTCAGGTGTCTTTGTTGTTGTGCATTGTCTAATTGGCAGAGAGCATCACAGTCATCATAATCGGCGGTATATTTCCACCAAAACGGATCTTCTCCCTTATTCTTTAGGTCGCTTTGAGTGATATCTAGACCAGGAGGAACCCCAGTTTAGGCTAGAGTCGTGACCAAAACCGGTTTCAGACTTCAAACTTAGGTTA